CACCTCGCTGTCCAAAACTTATGGAAGCGAATCAACTCGAAAGAAGAACTTAAATAGTGCAAAATTTGAATAGAAAAAAGAATTTATCAGTCAATGTGCCAATAATAATAACAATTGCGATCCATCCTGAAAGAAATTATCAAAGAAAAAAAAAAATTATTGTTCAAGATAAAATTAAAAATAAAACTTATTTGGCCACTCAACCATCGAAATCCGTCGAAATTTTCAAAATTTATCTTGAAAAGTTTTGAAAAATATTTATTTTTATTTTTTTTGTAAAAAAAAATAATAAAATTATTTCGTTTCCAAATAAAGTTAATCAACTTGCCTCCAGCTTTTCGGCATTCTTTTATTATACTAAAAAAAATGATCGACGATAAAATAATAAAAATAAAAAAGCTTAATATATTACACCTTACACCACAGGTCTATATGTAATTATTGGACTTCCCCCTGCATGTAACATAACGGTTACGAAAAATATCACGTGAAATTTTTTGATGGCGCACAAATAGAACACGACAGGTGTATTGACAATCTAAAAAAGAACGACAGAAAAAAATTTTGAAATAATTTTGTTTCTTCTAATTTATAACCAAGGAAAAAAAGGTAATAAATATGTAACTGATTATTTCAAATAATACTTGAGACGAGGTTATAAATATTTTTCTTTAAATTCATTAGAGCCAGAGCCAACTCGTAAGTAACTTTTTTTGATTATCAATATTTAATTATACTATAACTATAATTTAAGCTCAACTACTTTTTAATTAAAAAACAAAAATATTACTAAAAAATTTATTTTAATTTAAGGTCAACTAAATTTTTTTTTTTAAAAAAATAAAAATTATTAGTGGGCAAGTTACTATTTTTAATTATTAGTATTTAATTATACTTGTTACTGTAATTTAAAGTAGACTAAATAATTTTTTATGTAAAAAATAAATTTTATTAGTGGGTAAGTTACTATTATTAATTATTAGTATTTAAATATACTTGTTATTGTAATTTAAAGTCAACTAAATTTTTTTATTTAAAAAATAATTAATAATTAAATTGTAAATTATTTTTATTTAACTTAATTATACCTGTTACTGTAATACTAAGTTAACTTTAAAAAATAAATTTTATTAGCAGGTAAGATACTATTATTAATTATTAGTATTTAATTATACTTATTATTATAATTTAAAGTCAACTAAATTTTTATTTAAAAAAATAATAAATAATTTAGATTGTTAAGTTATTTTTTTTGACTATTTAGTATTTAATTATACTTATTATTAAAATTTAAAAGTCAACTAAATTTTTTATTTAAAAAATAAATCTTATTAGCAAGTAAGTTACTATTATTAATTATCCGTATTTAATTATCCTTTTTATTGTAATTTAAAGTCAACTAAATTTTTATTTAAAAAAATAACTTTTATTAGTTTGTAAGTTAGTTTTATTGACTATTAATATTTAATTATACTTGATACTGTAATTTAAAGTCAACTAAATTTTTTTAAATTTTACTAGCAAGTTACTATAATTTAAAGTCAACTAAATTTTTATTTAATATAAATATTAGCAAGTAAGTTACTATTATTAATTATTAGTATTTAATTATACCTGTTACTGTAATTTAAAATCAATTAAATTTTTATTTAAATATAAATTTTATTAGTGGGTAAGTTACTATTATTAATTATTAGTATTTATTTTACTTATTACTACAATTTAAAGTCAACTAAATTTTTAATTAAAAATAAATTTTATTAGTTGGTAAGTTATTTTTATTGATTATCAGTATTTAATTATACTTGTTACTATAATTTAAAATCAACTAAATTTTTTATTAAAAAATAAATTAATAATATAATAGATCGTAAGTTATTTTTATTGATTATTAGTATTTAATTACACTTATTACTGTAATTTAACGTCAACTAAATTTTTTATAATAATTTAGATGGTAAGTTATTTTTATTAATTATCAGTATTTAATTATACTTATTATTATAATTTAAAATTCACTAAATCATTTTATTAAAAAAATAAATTTTATTAGTTGATAAGTTACTATTATTGATTATTAATATTTAATTATACTTGTTATTGTAATTTAAAGTAAACTAAATTTTTTATTTAAAATATAATTAATAATTTAGAATGTAAGTTATTTTTATTGATTAATAGTATTTAATTACACTTGTTACTGTAATTTAAAGTCAACTAATTTTTTATTTAAAAAAATAAATTTTTTTAGTTTGTAAGTTATTTTTATTTATTATCAATATTTAATTATAAATATTACTGTAATTTAAAGTTCATTAATTTATATTTAAAAAAATAAATTAATAATATAATAGCTGGTAAGTTATTTTTATTGATTATTAGTATGTAATTATACTTGTTACTGTAATTTAAAGTCAACTAAATTATTTATTTAAAAAATTAAATTAATAATATAATAGAAGGTAAGTTATTTTATTGATTATCAATATTTAATTATACTTGTTACTATAATTTAAAGTCAATTAAATTTTTATTTAAAAAAAATTTTATTAGCCGGTAAGTTACTATTATTGATTATCAGTATTTAATTATACTTATTACTGCAATTTAAAGTTAACTAAATTATTTATTTAAAAATAATTAATAATAAAATAGAAAGTAAGTTATTTTATTAATTATTAATATTTATTAATATAATTTAAGTTAACTAAATTTTTTATTTAAAATAAAATTTTATTAGGGAGTAAATTATTATTATTGATTATCAGTATTTAATTATACTTGTTACTATAATTTAAAGTTAACTAAATTTTTAATTTAAAAAAATAAATTTTATTAGTTTGTAAGTTATTTTTATTGATTATCAGTATTTAATTATAAATATTACTGTAATTTAAAGTTCACTTAATTTATATTTAAAAAAATAATTAATAATATAATAGCTGGTAAGTTATTTTTGTTGATTATCAATATTTAATTATACTGGTTTATTGTAATTTAAAGTCAACAAAATTTTTATTTAAAATAAATTTTATTAGCTCGTAAGTTAGTTTTATTGATTATCAGTATTTAATTATACTTGTTACTGTAATTTAAAGTCAGCTTAATTTTTTATTTAAAAATTAAATTTTAACTAAATATTAATTTCATTTTTATTTTTAAAAATAATATTTAATAATTTAGGATTAAATTGTAAGTTATTTTATTTTAATAATACTTAACTATATTTTTTCAAAATTAAATTAATTATACTTTAAATTAAATAAATTTATATTTTAGATTGTAAGTTAATTTATTAATTATTAATTATTATTTTTAATTAGATTTTTATTTAATTTATATTTAACTAAATTTATTTTTTAATATTTTATAATCAATAACAGTTGGTAATTTTATTTTTATTTAAAATATTTATTATATTAATTAAGTTATTTTATTAATCATTAAATATTTTATGATTTATAAAATTTTTTATAAAATTAATTTAAATAAGTAAGTATTATTTATTATTTTATTATTATAACATTATATAATAAATCTATTAATTTTAAAATTTAATTAGAAAATATAGGAAGATGTTTAAATTGTAATAATTTGAATACTGGATTTCAATGGTGCAAAAAATGTAATTCTAAATTACTTCAAAAAGAGTTTTCTAATTGGACTAGTAAAAATGAATTTATTAATAAATTTATTCAAAATACTCAATTGAATGTTCAAAATAATAAGCAAATATTAGAATGGATTTCTTATGATAAACTTGAAAATATTAAATATCTTGATAAAGGAGGTTTTAGCATTATATATAAAGCTAATTGGTTAGATGGATTTATTTTGTCTTATTCTTATAATGAACAAAAATGGATTAGAAATGGTAAAATGTTAATAGCTCTTAAAAAACTTAATAATTCATTAGATTTAAATGATGAATTTTTAAATGAGGTATATATTATTTTTTTAGTTTAATAATGCTAATAATATATTTAAATTAAACTAATTTTATTGATTAATAGTGGAAAAATCATTATAATTGTGATAATTCATTAATTCATTTATATGGATTTACTCAAGATCCAATTACTTTAGATTTTATGATATTAATGGAATATGCAAATGAAGGTAGTTTAAGAATAAATTTACCAAAAATAATTAAATATAATTGGAGAGATAAATTATTATTATTATTGGATATTATTAAAGGACTTAATATTATACATAATTTAAAATTAATTCATTGTGATTTTCATGATGGAAATATCTTATATAATAATTCTTCTGTTTATATTAGTGATTTAGGATTATGTAAACCTATAGAGTATTTTAAAACATCTGAAAAAAATGAAATATGTGGTGTTATACCATTTATAGCACCTGAAGTTTTAAGAGGTCAACCTTATACACCAGCTAGTGATATTTATAGTTTTTCTATGATTATGTGGGAATTTATATCTGGAGTTTCTCCTTTTAAATATAGAGCACATGATGCACAACTTGTTTTAAATATTTGTAAAGGAGAACGTCCTGAAATTATTAAAAATACTCCACAAATTTATATAAATTTAATGAAAAAATGTTGGGATAAGGATCCATTAAAAAGGCCAACTGCATATAATATTAAGGATACTTTTATTAATTGGTTTAGTAATTTTAAAGATTTTAATGTAACAAATATATTATTAGATCAAATTAATATTTCAACTAAACCTATTATTGAATCTTATTCAAAAGCATCCCACACAAGTCGTTTATTTGATCTTACTAAATTAAAAGAAATTTTAAATGAGGAGGAAAAAGAGATTTTTGATTATGAATATGATTTGAAAGATGAATCACATGAAAGAGAAATTAGTCAAAGTATTGGTAATTATTATATGTTTAAAATAATTATTAATTATAAGAAATTTCTAATTAATAAATAGAAATCTTAAATTTTGCAGAACTTGATATTAGTAAGTATATTCCAAAGCAAACTAATCCTAAAAGACCAAAAACTAAAAACAATGATGATGAGTCAGAAAACACCATTGAGTCAAGTCAAACAACTCCAAGTGAAGCGAACGAACAGCAAATTCAAGTTGAAGAACCTCCAAAAGTTTATCCGGTTCAAAGTGGTTCAAATAGTAATCATGAAGAAATAATTAGCGAAATTGAAGAAAACTTAAAAAATAAATTAACGATTGAAGAATTAGATAGTCAAACCCAAACCGATTATCAAAATATCAAAGATAATAAAATAAACGAAAACATTAGCAAGCAAGGTGCCAAAAAAAGAATTGAAAAACTAAGAAAAAAAGTGAAAAATCTGGCAAAATCCAGTAAAGAAAAAGTGAAAAAATGTAAAGTATTTATGATAAATTTTTTTCTAAAATAAATGTATTAAAAGTTTAAGAAATTTATTTTCGTTTATTTGTTATTTATAAATAGCTTCATTAAATATTTATATTGTTTATTTTATTATTTATTCTTTTTATATTTGTTGCAATTGAAAAATAATCTTTATAACTCTTCTTTTGTATCAAAAACTTGCAGACTACAAAATTTTAAACACTCTAGACATATTTATATATACAAATTATATTTTGTTAAGTTACGTCAAGTTCAAATAAGAAGACAATTATAATAAAGATATTTTTTACTTTAATAAAACATGTAAACAATGATCATATAAATGTTTCAAGATTAACAAAATAAATCATACTCTAATCACAAATTATGAAATAAATGAAGATATTTAATCATTGTAAATAAAAAGAGGAATTTACCAGATATACTATTTCAGCCCTAATACATATTTAATTTTAAACTTATTTTTTAAATATTCCCTTCTACTAACAAAATTAAACTTCACTTTACGTTATTTTGTATAATAAATAAATAAATAAACGCGAACGTAGAGGAAATCCCCGCATTTGCAAATCCCACTTCCAAATCTGAAAGTAATTAATAATGGAACTGTGAAAAGTGAAGATTATTTTCCAACTATATTTACTCGCTTTTGTGTTATTAGGTGAGAGATTAAAGGAAAAAATTAAAAATTTCAAATTATCTCAAAATGTTTTGACCTTTACATAGATTCAATAATCTCTTCCAATATATCTTATACAAAATTTAAAAATTTCTATTTATTTAAAATAAATGGCAAAATTGGTTTTCAAACAAAGCAAATTTTTACAAATTGAATTCACCACTTAATACATTTCCTTATTCTTGAAAATTAAAGATAAAAGATGATATGTTAGAATGTAGTTACTTGATTAGACTGAATCAAAGAATATAAAGGTTAACTATGCTGATATTTAAGAAGATAAAAATAACTAATTCTTTTTAAAAATGAAAAGGTTTACTACCGCAGTTTGAAGAAAGGGAAAATTGTAGAAATTTGTGAAGTATAGACATAAAATGTTAAGTTATTTGTTAAGTTGTTATGTATTTGAAGTTACGCCTGCCACTAAGTAGGGAATAAAGCTCTTTGAGGGAGACCACATTTTGCGAAAATTAGGCTACTGCGAACAGTCTACAATTACAACACGTAAGCTAAGCCTTAGTAGAAATAGCTGAAACAGTTTCCTTCTTCAAAGAAGAGCGCATAAAAACTCAACACACGAAGAGAAATGGCATATAGAAAACATGAGTCATTAAAAGCAAACGCTTCGTGGCAGTACATATAACTGTGAACGATTTTTTTTGGTACTTGAAGACGATGCCAATGCAAAGACCATGAAGAAAATCTCAGTGAATAACTGATCATAACATTAATTTTACACAGTAAATATGACGGGATTAAATAATTGTAGGAATTGAACTAGAATGGTCACTATATAAACTCCACGAAAACTCTCTTATAAATAATGAGCGATGTTGATTCAGTTAAATAATAATTGAATTATTTATAACTAGATACAATAAAATATTTTTAGATTTTTAGTACATGATTAGTATGATAAAGATATTTATTATAGCCACTTTTGATTGTGCTGATTAAATGAGTTTTTAAACCTAAACGATGGGAAAATAATCAATTTCTTTAATAACTTATAAGTTACTTTCAATTGCTATAATTCGATGATAATTTAAATTTTAGGAAATCAAAAACATTAATTTTGAGTGAGCGAGTACGAATG